ACTACGAACGGGAATGTATTGAATATCTATTTTTTGTTTTGCAATAATTTAGATAAAAATGCAGAACCTATTTTTATTTTTTCTTTAGCGTTTAGTCATGTAATAATACTCCCTTATTAATCTACTTATTTTAGCATGATTTAGTACTTTTATATTATATTTATTTTTATTATGGCTTTTTAATAAGCAATATTTATATTACATAATTTTATTATCTTTATTGTTGAATATTTTAGGATAATGACATGACACATCTCATATTTTGTATTATTTTCTTGGAAAATACTTTATATAGTTGTATCTTACTAGGATTAAAGAAATATTTTAAGCACAAGTTATATGTTTTGTTCTACGAAGATTTTACCTAAAAAAAAAACCCGAAAAAACCCGAGAAACCCGAAAACCCAAGAAAAACCGAGATTGAAAAACCCAAGTTTTATTGATTTGGTTTGGTCTTTAGATTTAATAACCCGACACAATTGGTTTGGTTTGGTAATTGTAAAATTCGAACCAACCCGACCTATGTACACCCCTAATTATAAGCATGAAGATCAAAAGTTGAATGTGAAAGACTAAAATAACCCTATAAACTTAAGTGACTATGATACCCTTCAAAAAATTATACCTTCATAAATAAGTTTAAAACCTTTTGGTTCTCTCAACCTTCTGCAATTCATATTTCAAAATTGTATAATTTTGCATGACTATGGAAAAAAAATCTTTTTGTTATGTTTTTATTATTGTCAGTCGCTTCTTAATTAATTGTTCACAAAATTTTACAAACATTTAATTTCTTTCATTCTTTAAAAAAAAAAGTATATCATGTACAAATAAGTATTAGTTTCTCTTTTTATCTGTTGCACGTATCATTTCGTTGAAACATCAAAATGGAACAACTTTAAAAACAATATCTACAGAGAAATATTAGGTGAAATATACAGTCGTATTATATGTTTGTAAGTCATAACAACTATATTTATGTAATTATAAAATACACTTGTCTAACTAAATATAATTATTGATCTTCGTAGAGCTATCCAGTCAATTTGAGTTCAACACTACATCTCTAAAACTATTTACTATTTTTAGCTTGTATTTTTTTCTTTTGAAATTTTGGTGTAATATTTCACATGTTTTAATAATATTTTAATTTTTTTACTGCTTGTACAGAATAACACGTGCGACGCACGTATCAAGAAACTAGTATTGTTAAAAGTTCAACACAAGGTTTAATTTTCTATTTCTGTAATATCTTTGCATTATCATTCCTTCTCTAATCGTGCTTGGAGTATTTTGAATTTCCAAAATAACATATTAAGGAAAAAGAAATAAATGTAACCTTTAAAACACTCGATGAATATTGAGAAAATGTCACTTTGCGATAGTTAATCAAAGTTCACCTCAACGGTTAATTTTCTTTTGTATCTCTATGTATTTTTGTGATATTATATTACTATAAGAATATAAAATGTATGTCCGGTACCAAACAATCAAGACAAAAACACAAATAAACAAATCATTTTCCAAAAATAAAAGACAAAAGAGAAGAAGATGAAAGAGGAGGAAGAGAAATCATTAATTCTCACTTCGCTCTATTTAGACCCATTTTATTTTTATAATCAGGCCTATTCATTCTATAGAAATCTAAAATCACAAATGATAGTATCATTGCATGAAAAGAACAAAAGTAAAATTGTCAATCACAACATCATGTAAAAACGACATAGAATATGTCTGATGATATATTTCCAATATTATGCAGGAGAAATAATAAAATGTACAACACATTTTCAGTTACAAACAAAGGTATTTCTCCCACTTGACACACCAGGATGAACCCATTGACACAATCACATATACCAAATCCATTTAAATTGTAGATTGAAAATAAGAATTTAATTGCGTAATTCCTTTGTGTATCCAAATGGCATACATATATGTAATTTGTATAAAAAAAAAGATCTCATACATATACACAAACACAAAGACTGTGAGCACAACTTTATGAGAAGAAAGCGAGAGAATATAATGGATGCTTATAGATTTTCAATTGCTTTTCCCTCTAAAATAGTTCCTGCAACATCCTTAAAATCCTCATATCATACAATCAGATAAATTCCAATAATTTATCACAAAATAAAGAATATAATTAGTTAGGTAACACAAAATATTGAAAGTTTTTTTTTAAAGAAAGTGCATCTCCTTCCACGATATGTCCAAGTATTGCTCTCAAAAGAAATATTGCCAAGGTGAAACAAATTTAAGCTTTGAAGGGTAAAAGAAGTAGCAAAAACAATCTAATAGTAAAGTAAGAATTACCTGTAATTGGTTAAGAGGATGCATTGGCTATCAAGGTTAAGAGTGATGGTGGTGTTCTTTATTATATATATATTTTTGACGATACTCTGCACTATAGAATGAGAAGCCAGAAGTTTTAAGCAATTAATTGTAATAAGTTATTATGTACATCTCTTTAGGACCCCGTTAAAAAATTAACGCATTTATAACTTTTTATTACTCTCTCTAATTGCACAATAAATAAACAATAACTTGGAAGATCGAACAACTAAATAATTGGGAGATAAAGGCAAAGAAAGGAAGTTAAAGATAAATAGCTTTTTCTGGTCTAAGAGAGGTGCCACAAATAATTGGAGAGAGTGTACCTGAAAAACTGGAACACCATAAAAGCTTTTTTCAAAAGTTCCAATCCTTTCCTTTTCATATTTAAAAAGAGCCAGCAGAATATGATTACTTCAGATTATAGAATAAAAAAATTAACAGTGCACAAAATAATATATAAACATGTTAATTTATATTTTAATGTACAAAACTATCTTTTGCATAAGCGGACACCTGAATATACTCCTCAAAAAAATGTCACAAAAGGATAGGCCTCCAACCATTTGACTGACAAAACCTATGCAATAATTTCTGAAATTCCCAATTGGTATATGTAATTATCTTTGTTAGAGTATATAACTGAGCAAAAACTATCTTTTCAATCAATTTCAAACAAAATGTACCTTCTGCATACTATAAATTTATTCCTAAGATGAAAAAAACCTTGTTAATGCTCACCTTAGCTACAAGAATTTTCAAATATTGCATTAAACAAAGGTTTCTTTCAAGAAAAAGTTTCTAAGCACGACTAATTGTTGTGCTATCTAACTTGTGCTAATGCTTGAGTAAGCATTGTGCAAGGTTTATTATTATCAATTAAGTTACTGGTACCTTCAAAATAGACAAAATAAAGTAAAATTGTTTTATCCTTATTTGTATTCTTTCTAGATATTATATCCTCCTTCAGCATGTTAGTTTATTTGCATAAGTTATAATAGTTAGCTTTAGACAGTAATCAAGTAACATAACATTTCAATGTCAAATAACTCATTATTATGGCACATAGAGTAAAGCTCAAAGGTACACCTCAATAATAAAGTTCTACCACGATGCTGCTTGTTTGGCTGAAGCAAGTAACAGAGTTGCATCTATTAAACATGTACCTGTAATATATCCAATTTTTTGTCTATACCTTTTTAACCCACTTATCTTGAACAACATAATCTTCACTATGTTGCGCGTCACCATCACTTGTTTAGTTCCACATTTCTATTAAAAGAAGAATACAACATGAGATGCCCAAGGCAATCACTAAGGTAAAAGGAGGAATGAATTCCTAATAAGGCAAAAAAGTCCAATATTTCAGTATTATATTTGAATGTTCCTCAAAATATACAATTCTAACATCGAAAGGAAAATTGACACTTAAGTAAAAGATATTATAATACTTCATGACAGTATCATGGAGTTTAACAGAAATTATCTTTTAATGTTAATGTGTTTGTTCCACATTGACCATTTCAGAGTCTCTTTCAAGGTCGGAGCATCTCTATTCCCATCTGATAAATATAGTTAAAAATTAATGTTATAAGTTAATAAAGAAATTAATCTTTACTAATTAAACATCTTTTTACGATTCTACCATCTTTTAATGGTTTTTAACATTCTACATAAACTGTAACCTTATCCAAGTAAATATGAGACCACCTATGTTAAACTGAAAATGCCCCACAATTAAGGAGATAACCAACAACAACAACAAGAACGACAATTAAGGAGATAACCAGAAAGCATAAATTAAAGGGGGGAAAACTATGAAAAATTCAATTATAACAGCAAATCATTCCAACTATAAAATGACCTCTCTTTTGGAATAATATGATTGTATTTCCATCTTAACTTCAAAAGATTGACCCATACTTCAATCAACTATGATTTATCTGTATATATTTCACAAGTTCGAATTTTAATATTTAGAGCATTTGTGATATCCTCTCAAATTGTTACATAAATAAATAGCATAAAATTGAGTAAAAAAAAAAGTTAGGATAATTTTAATAGAAAAAGGACCTGCAAAGTCATGAACTGTCCGTGAATTTTCTCGGGAGCAGAAAGTGTCTTGTCGTTGAAGCCTTTAATTGCTGCCAATCAATAACGTTGTTGATCCCTGATTTTCGACTCGGAATCCAAATTGAAAGCCTGCCACCATTGACTCCAAATTTGCCTCGTCTTCTATTTGGGGGAGAGTACTGTTATGTGAGAGATTTGAGGAAGGGGCAACTGTTTTACCTTTGGGCTTCCATGAAACGATTGGACTCTCCAATAAATACCCAAGAAACGTTTCGAGCAACAGTTGTTTATTTAATACAATTTTTTTATTTATTGAATGTGAATGAAGAAGGTAAAAATGCTCAAAAAAAAAAGGAGATAAAAGATAAATAGAATTGCTAAACATAGAAGGATGCCACATCACCTTCTCCATGTCCAACTTTATTATATATTTCTATTTTTTATTATGTAGAAAAGCCATGAAGGTCGACCAAGGATAAAGTGGTAATTTCACATAGCTGATCTTAAATTGAATTTTTATTAACATATGTATCCTTCTCCTTCCTCACGTTCTTTCATTCTAGAATTCTCTTTCACTATTAATTTGCTAATCATCTGCCATTTACTAATGGGTTCTGGCCACAATTATCTGCCATTAGTAGTAGATCTTTCTCGCTAACCTTTTTTTATCCTTCATATCTTTTTTAGGAATTTTACTTTTTATTATCTCTAATCAAACTTTGGACTCAACTCTGTGTTTCACAATTGGGGATAAACTTGTCGACTGCTTCTTGATGAATGAACTCTTGGAGCAGCAATCGTCTACCAGGATGGAGTATTCTTGGAGCTTTCGAACTGCTGAATGGGAATATTGAGGTATACCCTTTCAATTGTTATTTTTGAAGGGTTTATATGTTATTTTTTTCTTTTTTATTTATCATAATTATTCCGTCGAAGGTCGATTCTCTGCCAATTTTTAGGTATAACCCCTTTGAAATGTTGAATTTTTTAAGGTTTAAAATAGGTGAAATTTACTAATCGCTGATTTAAAATTTTGATATATAATCCCCTTTTAGATTTTTGTTTATATTGTCGGGCTACATTTCCCATTGATTCCTCATCTATACTATTATAGCCCTATTCTTTCGCTCACTAATTTTAGTGTTTTTCATTATTTCTCTTTTGATTCTTCTTCCAACCTCCTCTTGAAGTTGATCTCCTGATTAGTGTGATGACCCAAAAGGTCATCACTTGTTTTAAAACAAAATTTCCATGTTCTAAGGCCTTGAAAACCTCATTTAGAGTCACCTCGATTTGCGTGCACAGTCCGGGCGTGTAGCCGGAAAGCTTAAATATGAAATTTTGTAAACAATGATAAAATTTGATTATAAAATGAGTTAATTTGACTTCGGTCAACGTTTTGGGTAAACGGACCAGGACCCGTGATTTGATGGTCCCGGAGGGTCCATAGAAAAATATTGGACCTGGGCGTATGCCTGGAATCGAATTCCGAGGTTCCAAGCCCGAGAAATTAATTTTTAAAAGAAATTGTTTTCTGAAACTGTTTAAGGAATATTGAAATGAAATTTGCTTAGAACGCGATGGTATCGGGCCCGTATTTTGGTTCCGGCGCCCGGCACAGGTCTTATATATGATTTAAGACGTTTCCGTGAAATTTGGTGAAAAACGAAGTTTATTTGACGTGAGTTGGATTTCCCGTTGAAGAATTATGAACTTTGAGAGTTCTTGATGAAAATGTTGAGTTTTGAGGTTTAATTCATGATTTTACATGTGATTTTGATGATGTGATCATACGAGTAGGTCCATATGATGTTTTTGAATTAGTATGGCATTTGGTTTGGAGCCCCGATGGCTCGGGTGAGTTTTGGGATGTTTTTACACTTAGGGAAAAGTTGCAGATTCAGAGAAGTTGCAGGTCTCTGAAGTCAGGTCTCGCGGTCCGCGGTGGAAGCTTTGCGGCCGCGGTGGGGACTCTGCGACCGCGGTGGGATGTGTGCGGTCCGCGGTGGAGGCCTGTGCGGCCGCAGTCCATTTCGTGCGGTCCGCACAGGGCACTGGACCGCAGTACCTCAGGAAGACCCATGCGGTAGTAGTCCATTTTGTGCGGTCCGCACAGGGGGTCTGAGAGGAGTATAAATAGACAGGATTTTCAATCATTTTTTATTTTTCAAAACCCAAAAAAAAAATGTAAGAGGCGATTTTTCAAACAACCTTTCTTCTCCAAATCAATTGTAAGTCATTTTTAACTAATTTTCTTCAATCATTAACATCTTTTAACATGATTTCAACTTCAAATCAATGATTTTCATAGGGGAAATCGGGTGTTTTGGGTAGAACCTAGGTTTTTTAAAAATTGGGGATTTGGACCTCGATTTGAGGCCCGATTTCAAAACAAATTACATATTTGAGCTCGTAGGGGAATGGGTAATTGGGTTTTGACCTCGTAGGCTAGGGGGAAATTTTGACTTTTTGGGTAAAACCTTGGAAAATCCATTTTCATGCATTCAAATTGATTCATTTAGCGTTTATTTATGTAATTAAGTAATTTGTGGCTAGATACGAACGAATTGGCGGTGGAATCAAGGGGTAAAGCTATAAATTGAAACTTGAGTTGTGTTCGAAGCATCGAGGTACGTGTCCGGTCTAACCTTAGCTTGAAAGATTAAGAGTTGAGTCCTATTTTCTATTTGCTTCTTGTTGAGTACGACGTATAGGCATGGTGACGAGTATCTATACGTTGGTGTCAAGCATGACCGTGAGTCTTAAATTGATACTTGTTGTATTCTTGAATGTTACTATGGTTGAAATAGTGAGTAGATCCTTGATATTGAGTAAGACTTAGTTTGTTTATTGTGGGATCTGCTTATGATCGAGAAATGGTGGTAATTGAAACGAGTAAGAGTTGAGTTAAGATTGGTTATAGCTGATTCTCCCTTTCTGGGGCATATATACTTGTACTGCTGAGTTCCCTTGCCGGGATAGTGTAGTCTATTATTGATCCTTTGTCGGGACGGTTAATTATGATTATTGTTGACTGTATAATTGGAACGGGTTGCATGCCGCAAAAGATATTATATTGGATCTGGTTTCACGCCGCAACAAATATTATATTGGATCGGGTTGCACGCCGCAACAGATATTATATTGGATCGGGTTGCATGCCGCAATAGATATTATATTGGATCGTGTTGCACACCGCAACAGATATTATACTGGATCGGGATGCACGCCGCAACAACTATATATATGTGGATCGGGTTGTACGCCGCAACAATGTTAAATGATAAGGGATCGGGTTGCGCGCTGCAACAGTATTGTTATTGTATTGTTGTGGATATTGAGCTGTCCTTTCATATCTTATTAAGGTTCTGTTGGTCTTGATATGTTTCCCCAAAGCATGTACCCCTTCCCATTTTTAAACTGCTTATTCTTGTTTGTTTTCCTGCCATATATTATATAACTGCACAGGTTTATCTGGAGTTTGGTCCTAGCCTCGTCACTACCTCGCCGGGGTTAGGCCAGACACTTACCAGCACATGGGATCGGTTGTGCTAATACTACACTCTGCACTCTGTGTAAATACCAGAGCGGTACTTGATCAGCAGCAGTAGGGGAGCCAACCTTCAGTCCACCGAGACACCGAGGTAGCCTTAGAGGTGTCCGCAGGCCCGGCGTCTCCTCTATCTTTTATTATGTTCTATTATCTCATGTATCCGAGACAAACAATGTTATTTTTCCTTCAAACTGTTGTATGTAGTACTCTTAGTAGTCCGTGGATATTGTGATACCAGATTCTGGGTAGAGGCATGTGTTGACTTTCGAAATATTTTTGGTTTTATATATATTTAAGACTTCTGCTTAAATCTCATATTCCGCTGTCATTTAGATATTTATCACTTGTTAATATAAGTTGTAAAAAGATATTAAAATAGAAGAGCTAAACATTTCTAAATTTATGGCTTGCCTAGCTTCTACGAGTAGGCGCCATCACGCCTCCCGAGGGGGTAATTCCGGGTTGTGACAATTAGAAATGGCAGCTTTTGTATTTTTGTTTTCTTTCTTTTATTATTTTAACTATTAAAATATTTTCAAGAGTCCCATAATATGCGTAGTGGGTTGCCAATGCGTAGTCAGTGCAGTGTGCAGGATTTTAGGATCATAAAGGTGATAACGGTGGATAGTTTTTGAATCATTTTTATCGTTTAACTGAAAAAATTGAGGAGATTGTGTAGAGGTTGTTTATTTTTACACCATTTGCTTGCTTCAAGTTGTGACCAAAAACACTCACGCAAGTGCACGTGATCGTCAAGTAATAGAGTAGTGAGTAGAGTATCGTTCCCGCGAAGACTTATGATTAACTGTTGACTTATTCAAACTCAATTAATTTGTCTATCCAAGAGGTTTTTTATAAAATAGAGATGTAATTGTTTTACTACCTAAACTACCAATCAATAATCTAACTAGAGCAGTTAACCAAACAAATAACAATTTCGAGTAACAAACAGTAGGAGAAGATATTCCAGGGTCACAAGCTAGTTAACAATCGTGTTATGTTCTTGGCTTAAAATGACTAATCGATTTATCTAGATTGTTGATTGACATGGTTAATGTTACTTATTAGAATCTGTCGAGTTCTACTCGCCATCAAGTTAACTCAATGCATATATGTCTATGGAATTAAGATTAACAAGAATGCATTTACAATTCCTGTATTTCAACCAAGCAAGGCAATTGGGTATAGGTCTATCCCAATTGCTAATCCGTTCCCCGAGGCCTGGGTTCAAGAACTTGCTCTATTTAATTCTATATGCAATCTAAGGTTCCCACTTTCGAGTTCAACTAAAGATTCGTAGATAGTATTTCACTGTTAGGTACTCAGCAAAATAATTAAAAGCAGAATTAAATAAACAACCCAATATGATAAACCAACTTTGTCAAATTAAAATTCAAACAACAACATTCATGTTTCACCCATGACCCTAGAACAATGGGTTTTAGCCACTCATACTAGTGTTCATCACAAATAGGTTCAATTTCATCACAAATAGCAAAAACCAAGAGAAGAAAAGAAGAACTTGATGATCAAATCTCCTCCTTGCCTCTTGCCTCTCTATTTCTTGCACTAGACTCTGAAAACTTTCCTTCAACTTCCTTGGGCGAGCTTGACTTTATATAGGTTAAGTGAGTTTTCCTCCAGATTTCCAATTCTGCCCCTAAATAACTCTTCCCGAATTTTGGACTAGCGCGACCGCGCACCTGGACGCGCATCTGGCCGCGCTAGTTGGCTTAGATTCTGTCATAGATGCG